GACCCTAAACCTCCAAATTAAGAACGGAATCCCCTGCAGTGTTTGGTTGTATAGCCCTAGTAACTAGTCTCTCTCTCTCTCTCTCTCTCTCTCTCTCTCTCTCTCGTCATTGTTGTAAATATGTCATACAACATTGGCCAATTTACCTTTTTACAGGTGTACAACCTATTGATAGTGATTGCAATAATTGACTGTGCAGTCATACCCTTAATTGATGTAATTTTTCCATCACCATTAACCCCTCTTTTCCCCTCATACTCCTGATAACAACTAATACATTTTGGCCCCTCTACATTTATTTGTCTTTTCTTTATTATATAAGTGAAGTCGTACACTATTTGCTCTTTTATGATTGTCTTATTTCACTGAACATAGTATGTTTAAGCTGTATCCCTACTGTCATCTGTATCAAGATTTCATTTTTCCTTGTTGCTAAGTTGTATTCCTTATATGCATGGACCATATTTTGTATATCCATTCATCTGTTGATGAGAATTTAGGTTGTTTCCACCTTTTGGCTATTATCAATATTGCTGCAATAAACAGAGGCGTACAATCTCTTTTCGAGTCTTTGATTTCACGTCTTTTGGGTAAATGCCTAGGAGTGCAACCGAGAGGTCACACGATAGTCTTATTTTTGAGTTTTTTACATTTAAATTTTATTTTTATTTTTGAGTTTTCTTGAGAAGCCACCAGACTGTTTCCTACAGCGGCTGTGCCACTTTGCATTCCCATTGGTGAGGGATCAGTGTTCCAATTTCCCCACAGCCTTGCCACATTTGTGATTGTCTGGTGTTTGTTGTCCACCCCCGATCCACATCCACATCTTAGCCATCTTAGTGGGAGTGCATTGGTATCTCATTGTGGTTTTGATTTGCTTATCTCTTAAGACTAATCAAGTCTTCTGTATATTGAGTGACAGTGTCTTCTTTGATGAAATGTCTATTCAAGTTCTTTGTCCATTTCATGATTGAATTATTTGTCTGTTGTTATAAAAGTTTTATATGTATTTTGGCTATTTGATTCTTGTTGGGTATGGTTTATGTTAGGCCAGATTGACTAGAGAAACAAATCCAGAAATAGTCATATATGAGTAAGAGCTTTATATCAAGAAGTAGTTAGATAGCAGGAAAATATCCCAGCCCAATCCAACCAATACTAGTCCATAAGTCCCCCTTCAGATTCATGTAGCCACATGCAATGATGCAGAACACAGGGTCGCAGGCTGGTGGGAGCAAAGTCTTGTGGATCCAATGGCAGTGGCTCTGGCAGCAACCAGTGTTGCTTGAAGCCAGTAGGAAGTGAAGGCAGAGAGAGAGGGGGAGGTTCCCAGGGCCCTCTTTATGAGAAGGCCACGCCCACAGGGAGGCACCATCAGACTGTGACCTGATTGACAGCTTGAATACCACCCCTAAACTTACATATCTTCAAGTTGACATGAGATTATGTAAATAATCCATTGTTGAAAACTAGACCTGAAAGTAGTGCCCATCCTTGTTCTTTTAAGAATTGTATGATTTTTTAAAAAATGTTTTTTTAATTGTATGATTTTTGTTGGCACATTCAGCTCTTTAATCCATGTTGAATTGGCTTTTGCATGCAGTGTGAGGCAAGGATTTGGTTGAAATCTTTCTGTATCTAGAAAACAACATCTCCAGCGCCATGTCTTGAAGAGACTCTTCTTTCCCCATCCAGTAGAGTGGACGACTGATGTTGGCTTTGATGTGTGGGTTTCTTTCTGGACTCTCAGTCCTATCCCACTGGTCTATGTGTCTGTTGTTACACAAGTGTATCAGGCTGTTATGACCATATGTTTAGAATCAGGAAGCATGATTCTTCCCACTTTGTTCTTCTCTTTCTGCATTATTTAATTCTTCTAGCTATTTGGGGGCTTTCCCATATACATTAAGGATTGGTTTTTCTGTTTTGGTAAAGAAGACTATTGGAATGTTTATCAGGATTGCTGGGAGCAGCCAGGACCACAGACAAAGACCAGTCCAGCAAGAATTGTGTGGCAGCCTCTTGAGCTGCCTGGGAACTGGATGCAGTCCTCCCACCGCTTACAGCGTGGAGTCTCCATGGGCTTGCTTCTCATGACTTCTAAAGCAATCTGGGTGGGAACTTTGGTTTAGTCCACGGTACATGCCCACATTGTGTGCTGGGGCCACGGAGGCTGGAGTTCTGCATCTAGCCATTTTAGCTTTTATAATGGGAGCTGCCTTCTGCTTCCTTCAAGACTCATGGGGGAGGAATCCAGGAATCCAGATACTGGGCATCCCAAAACCCTCCACGTGTCTGCAGATGACACAACGATGAGTAGACAGTGGTCTCTGTCCTTGAGCCACAGATACAGGGGCCAGTTCTGTGCACAAAAATAATCAAGTCCCCAGTGGAGGCGGCGACTAGTTCCAGGGGCTGAGTTGGCATGGGACCATCAATGCCATGCCTCTTGGCCAAGGTGGAGAGTCTGAGATGCCCTAGTGTGGTCCAGGCACTGGGTGGAGTAGGAACCGACTGGGACTATGTCACATTGGGTCAGATTCTGTGGGATTTGCACACACTGGTGTAATATGTGTAGCCGGGGAGGGATGGCCCTTCTTCTGCTCAAAGGAATAATGGGGCCTCAGAAGACTCCTGATGCTCTTTGGGATATCCCTCTTCTGACAGTTTGTTATGCCTAGCATCCATCTTGTTATATCCTTGAATGATCGCTGAGCCTCTCTGCTCCTCAGATTTCTGAGGTGGGCGGCAGAAGGGAATAAAGACATCAGCGATGGAACAATAAGGTGGAAGAGGCTTGCCCTCTTGCTGTGTGGCACACATTCCTTGTCATGTTATCTTGCTCAAACCCTCCTGTGTCATCTGTTCCTGTTCCTGTCTGCAACCATTTCTGCCCTTTCTGTTACCGTCTCTGCCGGCCTGCATCTCACCATATCATCCCGGCCATCATGACGGCCCGTCTTTCTCCCTCCGGCCACATTCTCAGAAGGACCCTCATACCACTAGTCATTGAGTCCTGCTATGTCCCTCTCCTTGTCAGTCAACAGGGCTCTCTGATAACCAGAGATATTTCCCATTCCCTGTACACACACACACACACACATTCCAGCAGGCCCAGGTCACTGCAGCTCCCAGAGCAGCAAGTTCCTCTGCAGAGTTGCCACAGGTAAGTAAAGACTGGGTGGACATGTCTTCTTGGTTAGAGCTGGCAGGGCCCCAAGTTTGCCTACCCACCCCCCTCTTCCTTTCTATTTGTGACAACTTCAAATGTAGCATCTTCCTGTCATCCCTCACACCCACAGGGGCCTCCGTCTTAGGCAGCTGCTGCCAACCTGCCCACCCTTTTTCCTTTCCCAGCCAGAGGGGCTGCTGCAGAATCCGTGAGGACTCCTGGAGGCACTTTGAGAACCTGGTATTTGCTTGCAGACTTGAGCCAGGGTCAAGAGGAGCGAGGAAAGAGGGGCAGGAAGAGGAGCTTTGCAGGGCCGAAGCAATGGAGAGGGCGCTAGGGTGCAAGGAGGGAATCATTGTGGGGTTCAGGAGGAAGGGTGATGGCTGGGGAGGAGTGGGAGGAGGAGGAGATATCTAGGAATATTTGGAGGTTTGCGGTAATCCCTGAGTGGGTGACCTTACATGAAGGAAGGTGAGCGCCTGCCCATGAACAGACAGCTGAGCACTGGGACAGTTTCCTGGTCAGGGAGAAGGCCCATCGGGGACACCTGGGAAGTCTTGGACCTCTTTTTCGGGGCTGAGCCCTGGTGAGGGGGCTGAGCCTGAGGCAGCCTGGGTGTCCGGACTCTGGGGTTCCATTTGGGTGGGTGTGGGGGGCGGAGTTGGTTGGTAGCTTCTCAACTCCCCTGAGCCTTGAAGAAATCGGAAATGCCCCTCAGATTGCAGCACCTTCTTGGAAGTGACTCCCGGGAGGGAGGCTCGTCCTTTCATCCCCCTTGGTTCCCCCGGTGAGTTGCACCGTACCTGGGATTGACTGGGCTCCGGAGGAGCTCCCTTCTGCACCTACCAGGAGGGGGATCGTTGGCTTCTAAACAGGGAAATAGACCCCGGGGAGAAGTGCCTGGTTGGTGGTGGCGCAGTGTGTTCATGAGGGAGGTAGCTCTAGACCCCGGCTCCCCTCCATGCAGGACCTCCACGGGTCGCCTGTGGCTGCCCTCTCCACAGGCAGTGGGAGCACCACGGGGGAGCCACCTCCCAAACTGGTTGTGGCCACAAGCCCAAGCCGCCCCCACCCCCCACCCCACGGGGACACAGAGAACGCCCTGTCCTCCATTAGGGAGTGACCAGGTGAGTGGGGGAGAGGGGTGTCCCTGCCCTAACTTTGAGACCAGACTGCTGGGGGTTGGAGGCAGGTGAGGAGAAAGGGAGGGAGGTTTGAAAGGTGGGTGTCTCTCTGGTCCTAAGCGCCATGACCTCAGGCTCGCCTCTGCCAAACCGGAGACTCTCCCCTGGGCCTCAGGCACCCAGATGCTCCTGTGGGGCTGAAGGGGGGTGGGGGGCGGGGAGGAGCTCAGGACCTTCTTCTGGGGCATACAGTCTTGGAGGAGAATTTTCCCCACATTCACCTGGGTTCCATCCAAACAGTGGGGGATGACCTGAGACACGGTGGGACCAGGCTGGTCAGGGGTGCTGCAGGGACACTGGTGGGAGAGACAGGATGTTCCTTGGGGAGGATAAGAACATCCTCTGAAACTGGGGAAGGGTGACCGATATGGTGCATGTGAGTGGGGACAGGGGGGTGCCGGTGGGGAGGGGGTCCAGTTGGCTTCTCCTCCCCCTTTGAAAATAAAACTAGAGGCATGCAGCCACCCCAGGGACCCAAGAGGGACAGTTGTCAGCCCCCATCCCCTTGTCCCATGCCCTCCAGATCTCCTCTGCCTTCAGGTCACTGTCAGATACAGACACACTGAACTCCGTGGCGTGTCCTGAGCCCACTAGCTGAGCCCCTGCCACTGACACCTCCTAGATCTGCCCTGCTGGCCTGCCCGCGGGCCTGGACCTACCTGTGCACCTGCAACAGGCATCCCCTGGCACAGCCCTGCAGGGCCTCAGAGACAAGTCTTGAGCATGAGTAAGTCAAAGGCCCGGGGCTATGGGTCAGGGTGAGTTGGAAGTGGGAGACTCTGTTAGTTCTGGGCCTGTGACAGCCAGGCCACGGGGGGAGGACCCTCAGAGTCAGTGTAAGGTCAAAGCCTCGGAGATACTTTATTTCTAGATTTTGGCCCGGCTTTCTGGCCTGGGGACAGGGGGCTGTCAACCTGGTAACAACAGGGTTGGCAGGCTTAGACACGGTATGGGGGCTGGTACGATTGTAACTCGCCTGCCTAGGAAGATTGGGTTAGGGGGCTTATTAGATGAGAGTACTGAACTGGAAGCCAGGGAGTTGGGGTGGGAGCCAGGTTCTGCCCTTTCTCGCTCTGTGACCTCGGGGCGTATCACAACTGTTTTCTGAGCCTTAGTTTCTGCATCCAGAAAAGCAGGAGCTCGCCTAGACCCATGTTGGCACTGGCACTGGCACTGGCACTGTTGTTATTTAGTGCCATCGCGTCGCTTCCGACTCAGCGACCCTCCGGACAGCAGAACACAACACTGCCCAGCCCTGTGCCACCCTCACCGTTGTTTGCATGTTTGAGCCCCTTGTTGCCGACACGGTGTCCGCCCAGCTTGCCAAGGGCCTTCCTCTTTTCCGCTGCTCCTCTTCTTCAACAAGCCTGATGGCCCTTTCCAGGGACTGGTCTCTCCTGACACCATGTCCAACAGGTGTGAGATGAAGTCCCTCCGTCCTTGCCTCTAAGGTGCTTGCTGGCTGTACTTCTTCCAAGACAGATTTGCTCATTCTTTTGGCAGTCCTTAATTCAAGTGCATTGATTCATCTTCGGTCACCTTTATCCAATGTCCAACTGTCTCATGCATATGAGCGATGACAAAGACCATGGCTCGGGTCAGACGCACCGTAGTCCTCAGAGTAGCACCCTTGATTGTCAGCTCTTTAAAGAAGTCTTGTGCAGAAGATTTACCCGACGCAATGAGTGATCGGGTCTCTTGGTGGCTGCTTCCATGAGTCGTGATTGTAGATCCAGGCAAGACGAAATCCTTGACGACGTAAATCTTGTCTCCTTTTATCGTGTTGTTGCTTATTGGTCCAGTTGTGAGGAGTTTGGACTTCTTTACATGGAGCTGTAATTCACACTGAAGGCTGCCATCCTTGATCTGTGTTGCAATCCACCCTTTTCTCATGATCTCCCAGGGGCAGGAACCCTGGCCAATGGGACAGCTCAGTCAAGTTGGCTGAATGAAATAGCCTAGGCTCCAGGGAGACCATGTGAGTGGACCTGCTTCTTAGTCTTTGAATATCGGTCACTTGCTTCATATCACTCCTGCTGAGGCAGCTGGCACATTTCAGTCTCCTTGCTAACTCTTCCTCTCCTCCTTACCTACTGAATGTGAGCCTCTTCTTTCCCCTGTTCCAGAACAGTGCTGTTGGAGAGTGATGAAAACGTTCTGAACCTGCTGTGGCCAGTGTTGGACTTAGGGAGCACTTGTGTGAGGCTGGTGCAACTAAAGGACTGAATTTTTTTTAGTTGCATTTCTTTTAATTAAGTTAAACCTCCGTGGTCACATCTAGCGAGGGGGCTACCATTTTGGACCGAGAGGAGCTAAGTCATCTCATCCAGACCCATGGCACCCACATTGATGGCTTCAGCTCAGACCTCTCGCTGATCCCAAACTGAGCCAGCCAGCAGCCCTCTTCCTTCTCCACCTGGATGCCTAAGAGGCGTCTCCGAGGGTTCCTCTCACTGGAAATTGCTGAGCGTCATAGAGATGCTAGTGGGCACTTGCAGGCCAGGAAACTAACGCGCAGAGAAGCGAAGTGTTCTTGTTCAAGCCGAGCTGAGCAGGTTGGATGGGGGGCAGAGCTGAGCCCAGGCTGAGGGGCCTGAGCCCATCTTCCCTGTCCTGCTCAGGGAACCAGCCACTGTGGCCACCCACCAGCTCCACGGAAGCGGAGACAATTGTCGCTGCCCAAAGCCCTTTGAGCAGGGACAAGATGAGAAGCCAGCTGGAAAGATCTGGCGAGGAGTCCCCTCACCAGCCCTCCTCCCCTCACAACAGCCCTTCCCCAGCCCCCTGGCAGAACAGAAGGAACTCCAGCCCCTTGACTTTCTGCCCCTGCCCCACTCCCAACCCCATTTCCAAGGATCTCCCATTCCACCCCCAACACTTCTACTCTGCATACCCACTGCTTCTGTCTCCACCCTATCTGTTCCCCGGTGGGGCCCTCCCTTTTGTCCAATACCCCTACCTCTTCATGCTGCCCGGAGGCACCCCCTGCTCCACGGTGGCTGTGTCCAGATTGCTGATGACTACCAATGAGTCTGGCCACCCCCCCCAGGGGAAGACCCTGCTTCCCCAGCCAGGGACCTTCCACACCTCTGGCCAAGCCCAGCTCTCCCCGGCCTGTAACCCGGGTCCTGGAACTGCCCAGATTGGTTCCCCAGGCCTGGAGAATGCTAGCATGGAGGCTCCTGCTACGTGGACTCCGCCGGGCTCCAGGGTGGGCAGCGCAACCCTGCCCTACCCACTGAAGAAACAGGACGGCAAGCTGCTGTACCAGTGCCATGTATGCAGCAAAAACTTTGGACAGCTCTCCAACCTCAAGGTACGTCTCCTGGGCATGGCGGCTCCCCGCAGCACCCCCCAGGGACCCCGTCACCCCCCTCCCAGTCCTGCTCCTAGGATCAGGGACTCAAGAGCTGGAAAAAACTCCTGGTTGGTAGCCTCTCGGGCTGTGTGACCTTGAGTGGGTCCTTTGGCCCCTCTGGGCTCCCGTCTCCCCATGGGTGGAGAGGTCCCATGTAATAAGATGGCCACAAAGTGTCCTCTCCACCCGAGAAAGCTATCTATGAGATTATTTCATCTAAGTTAAAAATGGGGAAACTGAGGACCTGACTGGGAAGGGCTTGGCCAAGGTCACTTTGATGTAAGGGTGGAGTTAGGTCTTGACGGCAATCGCTCCTGTTTAATGTAAAGCTTTTTCCTCACCGCCATCTTTTCAAGATTCACAGCTGACCTTCCTGACTGAAGGTCAGATGGGGGGAAAGGGTGAGTCTAGATCACAAACGAGGGGCCCTGTTGGTATAGAGGTTAGAGCTGGGCTGCAATCCGCAAGGTCAACTCTTCGAAACCACCAGCTGCTCAGCAGGAGAAAATGGGCTTTCTCGTCCTGTCAAGGGTGGCTGTCTCAGAAACTCACAGGGGCAGCTCTCCCCTGTCCTATCGGGTCACTGTGAGCGGCATCGCCTCGATGGCAGTGAGCGAGGTCACAAACAGGCCCAGCCACCTTTCCAAGCGGGATCCCACAGATCAGGGCTGGTGCTGTGGACGTCGTTGTCCGCATCTCCCAGCAGAGGGCGAACGTGGGCACTATTGCTGGGTTCACGGTGCCGAGGCAGGACCAGCAGAGCCCTTTCAGCAACTGCAGTTAGGAAACCTTAGGGTTATTGGGAGACTTCCCTCTACTGGATCCTCTTGGCGTCTTAAACCTTGACAAGCTTCAGACCACCTAGAAAGGTAGCCAACATGCAAATCCCTGAGTCCCACCCTGAAATTTGGATTCGGCAGGTCTGGGGTGGGGCCTGGGAACCTGTGTTTCTTGACAGCTCACAGATGATCACAGAAGCAGATGCTTGTGGAGGGCGCTCGGCTCCAGGGCGAACTGCCCGGGCAGGCTGTGTGGCCGAGGGGTGGGCGCTGCCCCCTGGCTTTGCCCATGGCTATTCCCTCCCCCTCCAGGGCAGAGGAAGAGGGGGTGCCCTGAGGGACAGGAAGAGGCCCTGAATGGAGAGACAGAGGGGAGAGGGGCTGGAAAGCTTCAGTGACCAAAAGCAGGGCTGGGAGGGCGTGGGTAGAGGTTCTAAGGAGATCCTAGCCCTGTGGGCAGCAGCACCACCACCCCTCCCCCGACTCCTGCTCAGGTCCACCTGCGTGTGCACAGCGGCGAGCGGCCGTTTCAGTGTGACCAGTGCAAGAAGACCTTTACCCAGCTGGCCCACCTGCAGAAGCACCACCTGGTACACACAGGGGAGCAGCCCCACGAGTGCCCGGTGAGGCCTACTGTCCCCCACTCCGTGTCTCCCCGTCCCCACCCTCACCCCAGCTGGTGAGGTGTTCTCCGCCTGTCCCCTGGCCTTCCTTCCCAGTTCGCCTGAGCAAGTGGAAGCAGGAAGGGAGGACTTGGGGGAGAGGCATATATGTCTGTCTGTCCAGGGGAGTGAGGGGAGTGCTCGACACCCACTGTCTCTTTCCCAGAGTTTCTGGAAGGGTTAGTGCCATCGTGTGTGCTAAGTTCCAAGTGGGAAGCCCACGGACCCTTAGTCTCACCACTCCCCTGGGGGCCAGGGGTTCTTTCCCCATGTTACACACAGGGGCCGAAAGCAAGGCAGACAGTGCCGTGGCCACAAGTCTGGGCTGCAGAGTCAAGCTGCATGGGTTCAAATCCTAGCATGGCCTCCAGCGTGTTGTGTGACCTTGGGTCGGTGGCCTCACGCCTCTGAACCATTGCTTGCTTTTTTTTTATTTTAAGTATGCATTTTCTTCTTTATTTTCGCTACCTTTGAAAAAAATGTGATGCCCCATTTTCTGTTTTTTCTAGATATGATTAAACAAAGCAATGCACAGCACAATCCCCGTGCTCTTATATGTCAAGCAACACTTAGGCCTGCAAAGATCACTATAGAGAAATATTTATTAAAATGCACCATTTCCCTATGTTATTCAGAGATCTTGATCTGACTACTATTATGAGCTGATATTTGTGAACGATAATGACTTGTTTTTCTTTTTTTAAAAATCATTTTATTAGGGGCTCATACAACTCTTATCACAATCCATACATACAGCAATTGTGTAAAGCGTATTTGTACATTCATTGCTCTCATCATTCTCAAAACATTTCCTCTCCACTTAAGCCCCCGGCATCAGGTCCTCATTTTTCCCCTCCCTCCCCACTTCCCCCTCCCTCAGGAGCCCTTGATAATTTATAAATTGTTATTTTGTCATATCTTGCCCTGTCCGACGTCTTCCTTCACCCACTTTTCGGTTGTCCGTTCCCCAGGGAGGAGGTCACATATAGTTCTTTGTAATCGGTTCCCTCTTCCCTACCCACTCTCCCTCTACCCTCCCTGTTTCGCCACTCACACTACTGGTCCTGTAGGGATCATCTGCCCTGGGTTCCCTGTATTTTCAGTTCCTATCTGTACCAGTGTACATCCTCTGGTCTAGCCAGACTTGCAAGGTAGAATTCGTGTCATGATAGTGGGGGCGGGGAGGAAACATTTAGTAACTAGAGGAAAGTTGTATTTTTCATCGTTGTTACATTGCACCCTGACTGGCTCGTCTCCTCCCCGAGACCCCTCTGCAAGGGGATCTCCAGTGGCCTACTAATGGGCTTTGGGTCTCCGCTCCACACTCCCCCATCATTCACTATGGTAAGATTTTTTGTTCTGATGATGCCTTACACCTGATCCCTTCGACACCTCGTGGTTGCATAGGCTGGTGTGCTGAGCCATTGCTTTCTTACTGTCACACCGGGATTGTGCTAATACTTAGTCACAAGGTCCTAAGGTAGACTCCATGGAACCATAGATGGATACTGAGTCAAGAAGTGTTCCGCATGGGACAACACCCCATTAATTATGGGCATAATGTTTATCGTGTTCAGGGAGGCAGCGGCCCGCGAACTTGATGATCTCATTCAATTTACCATCGTTGTGAGGGCAGGCATTCATAGGCACACGCTATCAATAAGGAGAACAGGGCTGGGAGAGCTGTCACCACACAAAGTCACACAGGATGTCAGAGAACTAGGATACTACACCGCGTTTGGCAGGCTCCAGGGAGCCAGACACTGTGGGCCCTGGGGAGACATCATTGGGGGAAACCCACAATGGGGGGCGGGGCGTCGATTTGGAGCCCGAGGAGGGCCCCGATGACGCCTCTGCCCTTTCTCATCAGCTGTGCCACAAGCGCTTCAGAAGCTCCAGCAACCTCAAGACCCACCTGCGCCTGCACCAGGATGCCCCGCCCTTCCAGTGCAGCCGCTGCCCGAGTCGCTTAGCTCAGCACGTTCACCTGAAGCTGCCCTGCCGCCGGCACGCCCCCGCAGCTCTGCAGCCTCCGCACCGGCCTTGCTGGCTGGCCAAGTCGGAGCACTCCAGAGAAAAGTGGGCAGGGACAAGCCAGCACGCCAGGGATAGCCAGGACGGCTAGAACAGCGGTGCCAGGACTGCTCTGGGTGGGGGACTGGGGCTGCGCAGTGAAAGGATTTCCCCCTGATGAGTTGAACACACTGTGTATTTGCCAAATGCCCTGCAACCCCTGGGAACAGGTCAGGGATGCAGCCAGGAGGAGCTCTTGTTGCCCGTGGTTAGGTGAGTGCCTGCAGCCAGCTAAGTCAAGGTGGGCTCTGCATCCGACCACCTGAGCCAGGTCACTGATGACCAATCTTGCTCGCCAGGCAGACTGTGCTGCCAAGTGGCACAGGCTTGCAGCCTTTGCGCATTTAGCAGGCCTGTCGCTTTGTACCATGTCCTGGTAAAAATGACCTGCGCATACCTCAGTGGCATTACAGCTTGCTAACTTCTGTAATAAACCCTTATGGCATGAATGTTGTCTGTGGGTTCCTGTGTAGTCTTCATGATGGAGACCAGAAGTCAGAAAGGCAAAATCAAAAACTCAAACTCACGGACATCCTGCTGATTCTAACTCCAAGCGACCTGACAGGACAGGGTAGAACTGCTTCTGTGAGTTTCCAAGACTCGTGGGAGTCAAAAAGCCCGCCTTTCTCCCACGGAGCTGCTGGTGGTTTTGAACTGCTGACCTTTCGGATCACAGGCCAATGCATAACCACAACACCACCTGGGCTCCAGAAAGGTGCACCAGTAGACACTAACTAAGGCAGAGCAATCGGAAAAGAAGGAGCCACAAGGATGCCAGAGTCCACTCTGAATGCAGACACCTGGTTTCACCCTGGGTGCCTGGGTAAGTCACCCCCCACCCCCGCCCCCCACCCCCGCCCAGTGTGAAAACAGTGCAGAGCTCAGGTAAGGTGGAAAGCTGAGGACATGGGGTCCTCCTGGTCACCTTGCTCTCTGAAGTGTCAGGGCATCGCTTCGATGGACAATTTGCTCTCCATCCGCACCCTGCCCCACTCATGAGTGCAGAGGTAGCGTTAGGTGCGGAGGGCAGGGCCTGGAGCTAGAGGTCCAGTTCACCGTGCTGGCTGCTGGCTGGCCTCAGATTCTCCTTGGACTGAGGGCTCTCTTCCAGAGCTGTCCTCTGAAGGCTCCTGTTAGTCCAGGTGTCCTCATGTAATCCAAAGGGAGCTGCAGGAAGAGCATGGCTGCGGATGGTGGGGGTGGGGGGGAGCCCTACTGACTACCTGATCCCCACAGTGACCTCTCCCATGCCAGCTACATTTTCCCCAGCAGACAGGATCCCTCGATGTGCATCAGGTCATGCCCTCACCCAGAGCAACCCTGCCCTGCTAGTGATGCTCGTTGCCCACGTTCACAATGGAAGTTCTTCCTTGGTCACTTGGATTTGGACTGAGCTCTGATCTCCCTCCACAGGTGCGCCCACCTCAGTGGGCCCCTCTGATTCTCTTTCCTCCAAGTCCTCTCCCTTCCCGAGCTCGTCACTGGGTGCTACTTGGGGGCTTCTGGTCTCTCCCGTCCGTCTGCCCCTCACTTTCTGCCCCAACATCACCAGGGTTCTTCCACTGCAACCACCACTGTGCGCCGGACAGCATGGCAGAAGAAATCATGATGCCCTGGCGAGGCAACATGGTGATTCCCATATTTAACAGAAAGCAGGTTCCAGGAAGCTGAGCAACTTGCCCGAGTTGACAGACATGCCTGAGCTGTGATTCATACACAGGTATGTCCCTTCCAAGAATCCAGCTTGCCCCACATCTCCCGGTGCCTATGTACGGAATACATGGTACAGTAAAGAAACGTCATCCCTTCTCCAGAGGGCAGGGCAAGGCCTTTGCTGCAGGAGTGTGTGCGGCCCTGAGTAGGATGGGAGAAGAATGCATGGCCCCTAAGAAAGGAGCCTGGCGGGTGCTGGGAGCAGTATGCAGGTCGGAGAAGCTGGGAGGCAGCAGTGGGTGGGCGGAGAGGAGGATGGGCAGGCAGGAAAGTTCAGGAAGAGCTTTGCCTTCACTTGTGAAATTTGGCCCAAGAGAGAGGTGGTAAACAAACCAGACTGCTGTTTTAGGAAGGTCACAGAGGGTAAATCTGGGGGGGGGACAAGATTGCCTCAAGGGAGGGAACCCACTTAGAGGCTGTCCCCAGAGCTTAAGTGTGAAGTCTTAAGTCTTGGGGCAGTACGCACTGGAATGAACTAGGGGCTGGGCTGGGGAGTGGTCAGCAGGTCTCAGAGCCAATTGGACATGGGGGTGGAAAGATGACGCAGAGGCTTCATTGACTTGAATGCGAGGGAGGATGACGGGTTTCGTTCACAGAGCCCAGGAAGAGAAACTGAATTCAGGGAAGGTGGTGAGTGCATCGTCAAGTCTAAGGGGCTTAAAGGGGGAGTGTCCTACAGGCAGCTGGAATGTGCTCTAGACTTAGGAGAAAGAACAGGGATTCTGAAGCAAGCTTAGTCCTTGGAAATGGTCTGTTATGAGGAAAAACCAAAAAAAAGAAATGTGGTTTAGACACCAATAAACAAGACTTT